GAGGCAGTTCGCTACGAGCCGCGAGCAGCCTGTGGCGACCTCGAGCCATTCCACGTCCACTTCCGAGAGGTCTCCAGAGGCCGCCCTGAGCTTGGCTCTGGGAGCCGATGCCGACCTCCCGCAGTTGAAGCCAATTGCGGGAGGTCGCCAGAGGCCGCCCAGGACTGTAGTTTTGTGGAACTCGATTAATGGAGAAAGTGCATGCTTCCAAAATAATTCCCAGATGTCTAAAAGATATATCAAACATGTTTTAAACATGTTTGAAGACCATGTTTGAAACATGTTTAGAACATGCTTGACACTGTTTAAACACGTCTTTAATTCAATGATAGGATTGTTAGAGTGTCCATTGTCATGGCATCCACAACTGTAGTTCTGGGTCTTGAAATGAGTGCCAATGAAGGGGAGCCGGCATTGGTCGCAGAACCGAGCTCTTCGCGGCCATGGCGGCCTCCCGTAACTGGCTTCAATGTTCGGGATGCCGGCATTCGCTTCCAGAACCAGGCTCGTGGCGGCCCCTGGCGACATCCCGTGAGTGGCTCCCATTACAGGAGGTCGGCATTGGCCCCCGGAGCCAAGTTCTTGGCGGCTCCTGGCGGCCTCCCGCAATTTGCTTTAATTCTCTTGCACAGCTGTGTTCTAGAGCTCGGACCTCTTTATTTTCGCTCGTCGTCGTCGTTCGTCCGTTCGTCGTTCGTCTTCCCCCCCCTGGCCACAGAAGGAAACTCCTGGAGGAAGGAGGCGAAAGCCTGCTGTCCTTCGCAGCTCCTTGGTGGAAGAGCCAGGGCGCGCGTGCCACTTGTTTCGGCAAGCGTCATTGGCCCCCCAGAGCCAGGCTCTTGGCGGCCCCTGGCGACCTCTCGCAACTGGCTTCGGCTCCCAAGAGCCAGAGGCGTGGCGGCCCTGGGCGACGACCTCCCGTAATACTGGCTCCCATTGCGGGAGGTCGGCATTGGCACCCATGACCAGGCTCCTGGCGGCCCCTGGCGACCTCCCGCAATTGGCTCCAATTTCGGGAGGTCGGCATTGGCTCCCAGAACCAGGCTGCCGACCTCCGGTTATTGACCCCGGAGCCATGTTCTTGGCAGCCTTTGGCGACCTCCCGTAATCGGATCCAATTACGGGAGGAGGTCGACATTGGCTCCCAGAGCCAGCATGGGGACCTCCCGCAATTGGCTCCAATTACGGAAGGTCGGCAGTGGCCCACAGGTTCTTGGCGGCCTTTGGCGACCTCCCGAAGTTGGCTACAATTACGTAAGATCGGCATCAAATACGTCAGATCGGCATTGGTTGCCTGAACCAAATTCTTGGCGGCCCCTGGCGACTTCCCGTACCTGGCTTCAATTACGGGAGGTCGGCACTTGCTCTCAGAACCAAGCTCCTGGCGGCCTCTAGAGACCTCCAGTAATTAGCGTCAAGTACAAGAGGTCGGCATTGGCTTCCACAACCAAGCTGCCGACCTCCTGTAATTGTCTTCAGTTACGGGAGGTCGGCATGGTCCCCTAGAACCACAGTTTTGGCGGCCTTTGGCGACCTCCCGTATTTGGCTCCAACGACAGGAGGTCGGCATTGGCCCCAGAGCCACAGTCCTGGCGGCCCCTGGCGACCTCCCGTAATCGACTTCAATTGCGGGAGGTCGGCGATTGGCTCCCAGAGCCGCAGCCCTGGCGGCACCTGGCGACCTCCCGCAAGTGGCTCCAATTTCGGGAGATCGGCAAAGGCTTCCAGAACCAAGCTCACGCCGGCCCCTGGGAACCTCCCGTAATTCGCTTCAACTACGGGAGCCGGGTAGTGGCTCCCAGAGCCACAGTCCTGGCGGCCTTTGGCGACCCCTCGTAATTGCACGTGGACTTGCGCGAGGTCGCCACAGGCTGCTCGCGGCTCGTAGAGAAGGAACTGCCTCTGGGAAGGGTCAGGTGCAGGAGGCGCCATCCGGCCGAAAAACCAGGGGGGGGGCCTGCGAAATGCCATGCCGACGACGGGCTCCCAGAGGTCTGGACCCCTTCCCGCTCCTGTTCCCCTCCCCCCCCCCTTCCCGAGCGACCCGCCGCACAGCCGCCGGCCCTGTGCGCTGGCGGCGGCGGGCCCGCCGCGTGGGCCCCGTGCACAAGGACCGCGGGCGGCTGCTTGGCGCGCGGCCGCGTCGTCGGGGCGGGGCGGCCGGGCCCCCCCCCTCGGGAAGCCGGCGTGACCGACACGGGGACTCGGGTTTGCCGACGTTTTTTGACGAGCGCGTCCTTTGATTCTGACGATCCAGTTCTCGTGGGATGGCTGCAGCGGGAGCTCGCGTCAAATGGCAGACTGGGCCATCGCCATTTTCATGATGGAGCCAGCTGGGGGTTCTGAGGTAGCCCAGCACTGGTTCTGGCCAGCAGGGAGGAGGGGCAGGCTCGAGGGTCTGGGTTCGAGAAGTGTTTCTCTTCCTTTTTGGGCCTCTTGGGGGGCGGTTTGCGAGCCCCGGGACCGTCAGACACGGCTCCAGAGCGAAACATTGCACCAGACGGTTCCCGGGAGGGGTCTCGGGACCGACTTGAGCGGATTTGGCTTCAGCCCCCGTCCTGACAGTTTGTTAGGTGTCGCAGCCAGTTCAGACCCCCCGGCCGCCCCCAACACCAAACCACCCGAATCCAAGCCCAAAGTCCTGGACCCGGCAAAATTTTGGGTCTCCGGGTGCACGGGTTCGTAGCTGTTTTCTCGATGTTCTGGACCGTCCCCCCGTTGGAAATTGGCAGGGCCAACGGCGACTTCGGGTTGTTGGGCTGGGGACTCGGGACGACCAACATGGTCGAAGCCGCCTCGGGATTTGGTGCGACCGACATAGTCTAGGCCCAGGCCTCCCAGATAGGGTTAGAGCATGTGCGGTCGGAGGATCGCGACGCATCGCCGATGCATCGGAAATGCAGATCGAGGGTGGATCCAGATTTTCTTCGCGTCGACGTCGCCGATGCATCGCCGACGTATCGTCGATGCGGCGCGATCCTCCGACTTCATCTGCTCGGATCCCATTCGGGAGGCCTCCACATGGGGAGGGAAAGAGTGGAGGCGACGTCGCGGACTGTGTCCGTTCGAGGCAGAAGAGGTCGCCTGTCCAACAGCGCCTGCTGTAGGTCTTGGGCCCCTTTGCTGTTGGGCACCGTGCCCAAATTGGGTCCGTACAGTCGGACCGAGGCATAAGATCGAGGTCGGTTCGAGGAGGGTACTTTAGAGTTCTTCGTGTTTGTTGGACGTTCTTGTGCATTTTGGGGGAGGGTACCCTGGAATGTTCTCCGGTTCGGCCGGCCCAGGTCCGACTGTACCCGCCTCAGGCGTTCACGTCGATAGGGTCGGGCGCCGAAGGCCCCCTCGGGTGAGGTTTGCAGGCCACCTCCGAGAGCTCCCGATGGCAGGAGGCGAAGAGCAGACAGCGACGGCACGAGCAGCAGCCTTCGGAGGTTCGCGCTGACTTCTTGGATCGGCATTCGGCCCCTCTGGCTGCGGCCTCGGCGCTGCCCCTGGCGGGCTCCACGCGGGGGTGTCCCGCGCCGATGATACACAAGTTAATATACATACATACATACATACATACATACATACATACATACATACATACATACATACATACATACATACATACATACATACATACATACATACATTAAGCATTTCCTATGGAAAAACGTCTATTTCCTGGATCGTTGCTTTTCAGTCCTACCAGCGGCCGCGACGGCCCCAGTGGCCCCCAAAATGAGCCCCAGACGGCCCAAGAGACCACCAAGGGGGCTCCCAGGCGGCCTGAAGAGAGCTTGAAGCAGCACTAGAGAGCTCCAACACGGCCCAAGGGTGTACTCAGGAAGCCCGAGGCGGCCACCGGAGGATCCTTACATGGTTGGAGGGGGCCCCCCGAGGGCCCCAAGACAGGCTCAGGTCCCCATGACGGGCGAAGAGGGACCCGGAACGGCCGAATTGGGCTCCCAGAGGGTCCAAACAAGGCATACCAGGACTCCCTGAAGACGGTCCAGGAGACCGCTGAGAAGGCTCCCGGGTGAAACAAATTAACATTTCCAATGGAAGAACGTACATTTCTAGGATATTCGTTTCTTCTGTTCCATCGGCGGCCACGTCGGCCCAAAAGGCTCCCCAAATCGGCGCCACACGGACCACGAGGCCCCCAAGCGGGCTCCAAAGCAGCCTCCAGAGAGCGCCGAGCAGCACAAGAGAGCTCTAAAACAGCCCGAGAGAGCCCCCAGGGGGCCCGAGGGAGCACAGGAGGATCCCTACGTGGTCGGAAAGGGCTCCATGAATGCCCCAAGACGACTCAGCTACCCATGACATGCCAAGAGGAGCTTGGTACAGCCGAAATGGGCTCCCCGACGGGCCACAAAAGGCCCAAAATGGCCCCCCAAAGACGGTTCAAGAGGCCGCCGAGAAGGCCCTCCAAGGGCAGAACTCAAGCATTTCCGATGGAACAACATATATTTCTGGGAGCTTCGCTTTTCAGTTCTACCAGCGGTCGCGACGGCCCAAGAGGTTACCGAAATGGGCCCCAGACGGCCCCAGAGTTCCCAAAGAGGGTTTCAAGATTTCCGTAGCCATTTTGGCTCAAGGGCTTAAGCCTTTCTGACTCGAGCCGTTGAATAAACTCTTGGGCAGCTCAAGCCTGAGTGTGTTCGGGCTGAGGCTCCGAAGTAGACGGTGCGCGCAGATGGAGAATGAGCGTGATCCGCTCGTTCGTGAGGAAGCATCGTCCGCGACGGTGACCACTAGCAAACGAAGTTCCGCATGTTGCTGTTGTCGCTGATCGTCATGTCCGCATCCGTCCTTGCGGCCCTCCCCTCTTTCTGGAGTGCCCGCACGGCCGAGAGACCTCTGTATCTCTCAGTCGCGAGTCGTCCAGCACAGTGGCAGTGAACCGCTCGATCGGCTGCTCAAACCAGGAGAGCATTTTCCTGCTACGGACTTGGACTGCTACCAGCGAAAGCCACTGTATCGAGCTTTGCAAGAAGCAGGCTGGCTGCACGAGCATGATATACCAGCAAGCAGCATGCGCGGATAATGGAAGGCATGCTTGCTACCTGTACACCGGCGAGTGCAATACAGTGAAGGACACCTGCTTCAACTGGGCGGAGATTCCCTTCGATCAGCGCCCGCCCGCCACATGGAGGCTACTTGGACCAAAACTTGGCTGCGGCAGCTGGGAAGATATTAAGCTCGAGCCGGTTTCCCACGCCAGAAACGCTGAAGAATGCAACGCCAGGTGCGCCAGTTTACCTGGTTGCAAGTATGGGCATTTCCAGTTTAGGTCTGGCCCTGTGGGCCGTTTGACCGCATTCAAGAACGCTTGCTACCTCCTCGGGGACGGGTGTACGTTGGGAGTCAACCCGTACTGGAACCTCTACCTCATGGGCAACCATGCGCCCCCGAACATGCCTGAGTTTTACCACTTTCACTTTATGATGTATCAGCCATGTCCGTCCTACCCTGCGCACGAACTTGGCCTTTGCGAATCCAGGTGCGGCGAATGTCTCCCAACCGTGGAGCCGATTCCGCAGCTTGCCAGGGACCTCATCGAGTCTGTTCCGGATCAGGCAGAAAAATAATTGGGAAGACATGGAACATGCTATGACGTCAGCAGAGGAGTCAGTCAGCCTTCCGTCTGCGGCCTTCCAGTTCTCCGATTACGCCAGCTTCCCCAACCAAGAGCAGATCCGTGCCAGGTCCACTTGGGGCAGCGAAAATTATCAGAAGATGAAGTTTGATTCGAACGGCTGGGCAGTGGAGGACGGCCTCGGAGATGTTGACTCCGACCGCTACTGGTGCATGGATGAGGATGAGCGCATTTGTTCCGCTTCCTTTCCACAGACGCGAGAAGATCACGCATACGAGTTCGTCGGCTCGGAGCAGTTGGCAGGCGAGGAGCAGCTCCACTTTATTTGAAAATATCTTGCAGAAAACGAGCCCGCTAAGTTCCAGGACGTGCACTATTGGGAGAACAAGAGAACCACCATACCGTTTGCGATCTTGATGCCCAATGGGACGCTGAATATGTTCGACCTCAAGACGTCGAAGATACTGGATGAGGACACTGCCGCGGTGATGGAGGCCAATATTGAGACAAAGTTTGGGTCGTCGATTGAGGAATCGTGCCAGCTCTGCGGCCTGCGCGCTGTTACGGACAGCAAGTTCGTGCGCGCTATCGCGGATTCCAGTATCGCGCCCAGGATGGCACCCAAGTGGAGGGACTTGGAGCGAGCGCAAATCGAATTCTACAGGGCCTGTGCGGCTACTGACACGCCCGAACTATTAGACGAGGAGGACGTCGCCCAGATTGCCCGTGCCGCCAGCGGACCGCCCTCGCGCGTGCAGAGGTTCGCCGCCCACCTGCAGCGCTCCGACTTGCTATCGGGAATGCCGGGCGCGTGTCGTAGCAACTGCCCGGAGCTTGTGGATCAGATGGTGGACCTCGCGAAGGGCGACCCGGGGCTGTCGTGCGACGACGGGTCTGCGCGCGACGACGCCCTCGAGTTGCTGGGCTGCTGGTTCGACCGGGCGGCGCCCTCGGGGAGGGGCCGCGCGAAGCTCCAGGGAGTTTGCACGCAGAGCAAGCTTGGATCCATCATCCTGGCTTACGTCAACTGCACCACGCAGCCTGATCTTGGAGACGTCAGAAGATTGCTGCAAGCGGGTCTCGGAGGCTCTGTTTCGAACGATGCCATCCGCGCGACGAGCCCGTCAACGATCAGCCTCAGCCAGCGTCATGAGTTGGTCGATGTGAACTTGAACGGTGGCGACGACGACGACGGCGAGGATGTAACAATCTCCTCTGGCAGTATCAGGAGACTGGCGCCCAAGAATCCGTTCAAATGCTCGATGGTCATCAACCCGCCTCCCCTACCTGGACCGGCGCGCCCGAATGGCGGCTTGGAGAAGTATGGCCAATGCTGGTATTTGAGTAAGAGGGGGACGAATTGCCGCGAAACTTGCCTCCTAGAACAGCTAGTATTCCATTGGTTTGTCGTCAACAGTTCGCGTTGTCAGGAGCCCATCATCCCGCAGTTGAAACCCGTAGGTGACGACGTAGACAAGCGGGGGCCATGGGCACCACTTGAGGCTCTGCGCTCGGTCGGCGACGAGCACTTGTTTCCACGCCGCTAGCACAGTGCCGCCCAATGACGCGACAAGGGATAAGTTCGACGGGCAGCCCTCCATGTTCACAGACGGCCGTTGTCAGCTGGCATGCCCTTGCCAGACACCTGAACAGCAGCAAAGTGATATGGCGATGTTCCAGGAGATTTTCGGCGCGGGTGGCCATTTCCCTTTGTCCAACTTGGCGTGTGTTGGCGTAGAAGTCCAGGTTTCAGAACGGAACAAGATCAAACTGGAAATTGTTATGGGTCCTGTCTTTTCTTTCACGGCAGCAGGATGTGCCGATGTATTGAAGGCGTTTCCAATCCTTCCCGCTCCTCCATTCTTCGGTGAAGTCACAATCGCGGGCCAGATTTTGGTTGACGTATTAGAGTTTGACGCTCTCGATCCAAACTCTAGCGTGTGCTTGGTTGGTTCGGCCTCGCTAGAATTTGATTTCGGCGTCGATCTCTGGATCATTCAGATTAGTTTGCTGAAGGCGGGGTTGGAGGTCGGTGTCAAATACGACCCGAACATTCCAGGCTGCGCTGCAATCGTATACGGGACTATCTTTGTTCAGTTTCTGATCCTCAAGTTGTCAATGCAGCTTCGGTACCACACAGAGCTTCAGGACTTGAGTTTGCACCTGCACGTGTCGGTTAACATCAAGATCTTGTTCTGGTCTATCACAGAGGATATCGGGTCATGGAGGCTGATCGGATGATCCAGGAGCCCTTGCAGCTCCCCGTACTCAGGCATGTATGTAGATACCTTCCGCGGCCGGTTTGTAACTACCAACGCGCCTCACATCAGCATCACTCTCCCGCCCCCTTGCAAACGATGTGGAGTGGCCCCGCTTTCTGGCACTTGATGCCGTCGGAGCGGGCCTGCGGCGGCCGCCTGGCGCCAGCGATGACGCCGAAGCGGTGCCGCGTCGGCACGGGGGAACTCTCACCTCATGCCGATGGTGGGGTCAGCCTGCCTCCGCTAGGCGCAGCCTCCCCCGAACGCCGCCCTCTCTTCCGCTCAGGCGTATCCAGCAGCTGCCGTGCACGGGCGCTGCCAGCTGCCGCCAATCTGCGCAGCTTCTCCATCCGTCTGCACGATCACGATGGTCAGGGCAGTCTCGCTGCTCAGCCGCGCATCTTCTGCAGCCCGTGCATCTGCCGCTCCATCACCCTGGTTAGCTCGTCCTTTGGCGCAGGAGGAGGAAAGCGGGCAGGGGACAGCCCTCTGGGCCAGCTTTCGGCAATTCCTCTCCCCGCCCGCGCCCGTCAAGGTTGTGCGACCGGCACAGGGGCGGCGGGCCCTCTCTCCAGGGCCCGCGGCCATCTTTGCCCGCCGCGCATGTTTTCCAATGCCGTTGCCGTGGCACTGGCAGGGCGCCAGTGAGCGTTCAATTCTGCGGTGCGTTGTAATTTTCTTTTCCATTTCTCCCTCGCTCTCTCTCTGTCTCGTCGGCGTGACCGCAACGACGGCCCTCTGGAATCATCGGAGGAGTTTTGAAAAAAAAGAGGGTTTCAAGATGGGCTGAAGAGAGTTTCAAGTGGCACAGAAGAGCTACAATACGGCCCAATAGAGCCCCCAGGAAGCCCGAGGGGGCCACCAGAGGATTCCTACACGGTCGGAGACGGCCCCAGGAGGGCCCAAAAACGGGCTGAGTTTCCCACGGCGAGTCAAGAGGGAACCGGAACGGCCGAAATGGGCCCTCAGACGGGTTAGCAAAGGCCCCAAAGGACTCCACAGGAATGCCCCGAGAGGCTCCAGAGGCTGCCACAATGCTTCCATAAAAGGCTCCTGTCACGCGGTCCAGTAGGCACCCGAGTATTGGGTGCGTTGAGACAAGAGAGGAGGAGGAGGACAAGGAGGAGGAGAAGGAGGAGCAGGAGGAGGAGGAGGAGCAGGAGGAGGAGGAGAAGGTGGGAGAGGAGGAGGACGATGATGATGATGATGATGATGATGAGGAGGAGGAGGAGGAGGAGGAGGAGGAGGAGGTGGGAGAGGAGCAAGAGGAGGAGGAGGAGGAGGAGCAGTTGGATGAGCAGGAGGAGGAGGAGGAGGAGGAGGAGGAGGAGGGGGAGGAAGCTCAGGAGGACGAAGAGGAGGAAGAGGAGGGGGAAGAGGAGGAGGGACATTGTTCTTGTAATATTATTTTGTTCTCTGATGCTCTGGCTCGGGGAGGGATGCTGAGGACGAGGAGGGAAGGGGAGCGCAGGATGAAGAGGGCCCGAGAGGAGGAAGGAGGTGAAGTAGGTGAAGGAACACAAGGAGGGACACACCGAAGAGTGGGGAAGCAGGGAGGAGGAGGAGAAGGAGGAGGAAGAAGACGAGGAGGAGGAGGTGAAGGAACAGGGATTCCTTTCAGAGAAAAGCCGACGAGGAAAAGGATTAATATAAGATGATGGGAAGAGGGAGAATGGGAAAAGTAGGAGGGTAAGGGGACTGCAGTGGACCAAGGATGATAATGGCGATGACGCTAATGATGATGACGCTGACTATGCCGACGACGACGCCGACGACGACCAACAAGATGTTGATGATGCGGATGATGATGCTTAAAAGTACGGTGACGATGATGGCGATGGTGATCACGATGTTGATGATAATGGTGGTAATGATGATCATTGTGATGGTGAAGGTGACCATGACCATGACGATGACGATGAAGATGACGGGGATGAGGATGATAATGATGACGATGATCATGACTCTAGCTAGAACTTGAGCGCGCACGAAGCGCGCGCGATGGTTTTTAGTGTATATATATATATATATGGACAGACCCCCTCCCCAGCACCCACTCTTACCAATATATGTCTGCGGCGGTGCTTCCCTTCTGCGCATCCCCGTCGGCATTCAGCGAAACCCGCCGCAGGCGCCGCTGGCATGTCTAATGCAATCCTCGTGAAACCCAGGCCGGACGCAGTCGTCGGGCCCTGTAAAGAATGCCGGTTTGGACGCCCAGAAACGTCAACGGAGGGCTTCTGATTGGCTTCTTGGGGCTTCATGGGCGCATCTTGAGGCCTCTTGGGGCACTTGCAGACCTGCTTAGGCAATCCTGGGAGTCTTGGAGGGTGTTTGCGCCTGAGTTGCATCGATGGGCGAGCGGAATTGGGCCCTCTTGTGAGGAAGGGATGCTGGGGAATGGGAGGATCTATGAAGTGTGGAAGAGTGGTGGTGATGCTGGCGCCACTGAACAACGCACGCGCGACATTACTAATTGTAAACGCTTTGCGCATTCCCACCATCCCATCCAGAAAAGAAGTGTATGAGCAAGCAGTGGAACAAAGAGAGGGTGGCAGCCGTCAAACTAATGCTCAGGGTCAGCCTGAGCAGACCTAGGAGTCAATCATACATGCCTTCGCGGATCTTTCGATCTGGGAGTTCCTCGGTCGGCAATTTACGTGGGCCATATCGGGGCCCGCCTGTTGCAATTGTTGATGCCGTTGGGGCTTATTTGGGGCACTCTTGAGGCTCTCTTGGGGCCCTTTGGGAAGCCTTGGGGTCTCTCGTTGGGCCCTCTTGGGGGACATTGATTAAAGAAGGGGGAATGAAGGTCGCAGTTTTGTGATGCCTCGAGTTTGCTTTGGGGGCACTATTTGGGTTCACGGGGCGCTGTTGGACGCGATAGGGGCCGCATAGGGTTCCTCTCTGGGCCCTTCGTGGGGCTCTCCAGTCGCCGCCGCGTGGGAGCCGTATTGGGGCGTCAGAAGCCCATGGGACGTTGGGGCCCCCGCAAATAACTTGAATAGCAGCGAAGAAGATCAGGTGCGTCGAGGAGCAAGAGATTGGCTATGCAGGGACGTGAGCACGGCCAAGCGCAGTTGTTGCACAAAGGGTCGTGGCCGGCGGGGCGAACATGTGGTGGGCATCTGGGCGAGAGCACGCTTCTTGGATACAGTGCGAGGAAGTCTCAGGCGAAATGGCTGCCAGCACCGGGTAGGCGCGGGCGGGTTCCTTGTTCCCTGTGTCTCTTGTGGGGCTCTTCGGTGGTCTTTTGCCAGCTCAGTTCAGACCCTCTAGAAAATGCTAGCTGGAGCCAGATTACGTAGGCTTCAATAGCCCATGGGACGCGAAGAAGCGAACATACTCAACACTTGTGCCCCCGTAGGTTGTGTAAAGGTTTAGCCTCTTGGGGGCATCATTGAGATGCTTGTTGGGGAGTTCTTGGGGCCTCTTGGAAGCGCGCTGTATGTATCTTAAGCCATCTCGCTCTGTCCAGCTGTCTGCGGCAAGTCCCGCCACCGTGCCAGCCAGGCTTTCTCGGTGGTCTGTGCGCGAGGGAGCACGGAGGTCCTAACCTGAGACATCTTGTACCTCGGGTCTTGTGAGAGTCGTACCACGTGGCGTGTTTTTTTTGTAGGGCCGTCTTGGGCGGCTCTAGAAGCAAGGTGCTTGACGCCGTCACGTGTGACACCTCGGCTGTCGTGGATTGTTGGTGCGGCCTCGAAGTCATGATGGTGATGACGATGGTGATGGCGAGGATAGTGGTGTGAATGATGTTGACGACAGTAGCGGTGATGAAGATAATGATGAGGATGAGGACGAGGGGATTATGATGATGATCATCATTGTGTGTGATGATGGTGATGATGATTGTGATGATGATGATGATGATGATGATGTTGATGTTGATGTTGATGATGATGACGATGACGATGACGATGACGAAAACGACGACGATGATGTTGATGATGATGATGATGGTGGTGGTGATGATGAGGATGATGATTGTGATGACGATGACGATGTTGATTATCATTGCCACCATGCTGATGGCAATGATGACGCTGATGATGACGCTGTTGATGACGATGATGATGATGATGCTGCTGGTGATGTTGATGATGATGATGATGCTGGTGCTGTTGATGTTGATGATGATGATGATGATGATGATGATGATGATGATGATGATGATGATGATGATGATGATGTTGATGATGTTGATGATAATGTTGATGATGACGACGATGATGACGATGATGCTGATGCTGATGCTGATGATGATGATGATGATGATGATGATGATGATGATGATGCTGATGCTGATGATGATGCTGATGATGATGATGATGATGATGATGATGATGATGATGATGATGATGATGATGATGATGATGATGATGATGATGATGATGATGATGATGATGATGATGATGATGATGATGATGATGATGATGATGATGATGATGATGATGCGATGATGATGATGATGATGATGATGATGATGATGATGATGATGATGATGATGATGATGATGATGATGATGATGATGATGATGATGATGATGATGATGATGATGATGATGATGATGATGATGATGATGATGATGAAGGAGGAGGAGGAGGAGGAGGAGGAGGAGGATGAGGATGATGATGATGATGATGATGATGATGATGATGATGATGATGATGATGATGATGATGATGATGGAGGAGGAGGAGGAGGAGGAGGAAGAGCAGGAGGAGAAGGAACACGAGGATGATGACGTGAATGAGGAGGGAGGATGAGGGGGAGGAGCGCCGTCACATCTGATACTTTTCGTCTCCGCTTATTGAGGAGTCCTCGTGGACCCAGTTGGGCAGTCTTGGGGCCTCTGTTGGGCCTCTCGGGTGCCGTTTTGGGGCCTCTTGGGGTGCTCGTCTGGGCATCTTGGGGCGGAAGGCTCAAAGCGTCGCTTATTGTATCTGTTGTGGGGCTCTCTTGGGCCGTCTTCGGTGCCTCTTGGGCTGTCTTTGAGCCTTATTGGGCCGTCGTGGGCCCCTCTTGGGGGCCTCGTGGGCAGTCTTGGGGCAGTCTTGGGAGAGTCATGAGGTCCTCGTGGGGCGTCGGAAGCTCGAAAGAGAGAGAATCCCAAACACATTGAACACCCACTGGACAATCACTGAGGTGTGTTTCTCAGGCCCTCTTGGGCGCCTCTTTTGGACCTCATTGGGCCTGCTGGGGGCCTCTTGGGGCGGACGGCTCAAATTGGCGGTTCGTGTTCCCCCGATTGGGCTCTTCATGCCCGTCTTGGGGCCTCCTTGGGCGCCTCTTCGGCTGTTCGGGAGCAGTCTGGGGCAGTCGTGGAGCTATCTTGGGGGCCCCTTGAGCCGTCTTGGGGCAGTCTCGTGAGCCTCTTGGGCTGTCTTGGAGCGTCGGAAACTCGAAAGTACGGCGAACGCCCGCCGCATTACATTCAAAGGTTTTGAAGCGGCAGCGACGTTTGCCTCTCGGGGCCTTCTTGGCGGCCTCGGGGGCGGGCTTGGAAAATAATAGAAACTCTACCAGACAGCGCTTGGCAATCTAGCACGCTCCAACGTGACGGGTGGCACGGTGGCTGACGTTGTGCTATCTCTGAGGCCGTTTTGTGATAAGGTATATTCAGTTTGGGTTGGCTTGAACGCTCTAACTGCCCCCCCCCACTGTCCAGACCCGCGAGGGGGGGGGAAGGTCAAACTATCCCCGGAATGACGGGCGTCTCGCCGTCCCGCCCACTCCCGCCAAAACAGTAGCACCCGCATCTCCCCTTTGCAAGGGTCGCCATTGGATGGACCGCCAGTTCGCGCCATCACAGGCGCCAGATGCGTGACGCTCTGGAGGTGCCTCGCGCGTGCCAGGTGTACCTCTCGCGCCAGGTGCACCAGGCGCCCCAGGGGGCCAGGCGTGCGTGGCGCGCCTGGAGCGCCAGGGTGCGCTAGAAGCGCCGCGGGCGTCGCACTTGTCAGCCGCGCCAAGTGTGCCACGTGCTCCGCCCGCGCCATGCGCGCCACGATTGCAATGCGCGCGCAGTATGTCATGCGTCAGCACATGTGACAGCGCGCATTGGGACGCATGTCGGCCTCCAGCACCTTTGCCGACATCAAAGGAGAAGCGGCCTCGTGGTGGTCAACATGGTGTATGGTCTGCGCACCCGCAAACATTTTTTCGGTTTTTGGCACTGGCGAGGTGCACGCACACACCACAATACGCGGGCATCCCCCGTCATCCCTGTCAATCAGAACTGCAAGATGATTGCGGGACACCCGCGCATGGTCGCTGGGCAAGATGAGCATCCCCCCCTCGCGCCGTCTCTGACAACACTCAATGTTCAGTGAGCCCGGGGCACCCGAACGTGATCCAGATTTTGCCGCGACTTGGGTTTTGCACTGTTTCTGGCAGGGGTGGTGGTGGTTGGGGGGGGCATTGATCCTGGCTGGCCGCTGGTCGAGTGGGGGAGGGGGTGCTCATCAAGAAGAGGCGGCGGTCAAGTTTCCAGCGGGAGCGCCACAAGCTGCCCCGCTCGCTCCCGCCCGCCCTCTCTCTGCATGAGTACAGTCGGGGCGCTGAAGGAGGAACCTATTTCGTTGGGGAGGGGCTCCGTGTTCCCTGCTTGCTTCACAGCTTGCCTCGGGGTTTCCTCAGGTTTCTCCTCCATGGGAAATCGAAGTTGAGCTTGTGGGGAAGAGGGGCCTCGTTCCTTGTTTAGGCTTCCTTGGGTCAACGCCCCGACTGTACCGGCCACGTGCGGGGCACCGGCGAGGTGCGCCGCGCGCGCCAGGTCCGCCTCTTCGCGCCAGGTGCGCCAGGCGCCCCAGGAGCCCAAGCGCACCATGGGCGCCCCGGCCGACCCCTGCCCCCACCATGCCCATCCGAGAACCATGCAGCTTGGCATCTTGACTTCGGGCCGAATGGAAGGGGGGGATAGGGACAAGGGGGGTCACGAAATCTGCTGCGTGCAGCTGGTTTCGGCCCCGCCCCACAGGCCTATTCTTCGATACATGGACGCCTCCTGGCGCCGGGAGGCGCCAGGAAAATCAGCTACGTGAGCTGATTCTCCAACCCCCCCTTTGCTATCCCCCTCTTTTCGCCCAGCCCGAGGATTGCGAGCATTGTGTATGGCGCGTGCACCCGCAATCACTTTGCGTTGTCTTTTGTCACAGGGTTGGGCCCGTGCACAGCGGGCCACAGGGTGCACCTCCCGCCCCTCTTTCCATCTCTGTCAGCAAAAAGTGCGAAGTGATCGCGGGGCGGCCGGACATGACGTATATCTTCACCATGGAGTGTATGATCTCTTGTTCTTTGACAGGGGTGATGAGGAGTTTGGGCATGGTTCATGGTCGGTCGCCGGTGGAGTGGGAGAGGAAGTGTTTCTTTTTGTTCAGGGGCAGGCATGAGTTTGTCCCCGAAGGGGAATCGCAACGACGGCCGGCGGAATGGCACGCAAGGCGCCCCAGAACGCACACACAGAAAGTTGTATCCGTCACCGCAGGGGCCTGCGCAAGAAGCATGGCAACCTGCGCACCCGTTGGCATTTGCATGCTAGTAGCTCGAAGCCTGATCCTTAAGTGGCGGTACGCGCACATGCATCAGTATTTACATGTATGGTAGTTGCACGATTGCAAATGAATCTACATGTGTGCGAAGAAAGCGCGACGCACAGTAGTCGGCCATGTCTGTGTGCAAATATGTCAATGCACCTATGTTCCTATGTATATATATGCAGATATTGAGACTCGTGTTTAGTCGCACGTGAGGGTTTGCCAAGCTTATACTCTTTTTTTCCCGTGATGCGGTTGCCATGCTATCAACAATGGGGGGTAACGGGGTTTTATTGAATGAGCGGTGGGATTAGTTGATGGGGTTGGTGGTTGGATTTGTGCGGAGCAGTGGTTTATGATGGCAGTGAATGATGTTACCTTGGCTTTGCGTGATTTAGGGGCGGGTGCTTGGCTTCGCGTACCGACGACCACGACGAGCTCCAGATGTGAGCAGATGTGGAAACGCAAAGCAGCGAAAAGCAAGCCGCGGCATTATCTGAAGGTTGTCGTAGTCGTGCGCTTCTGTTGTGTTTTTGTCGCGGTCGTCGGTTGGTGGACTTGGTCGTGCTCGTTTCCTTCCAAGCTTCAAGATGCCAACCGCACGCCGCCCAAACCACAGCCCAAACATAAACGTGTGTCATTGGTCGTGGTCGTCCATCGTTGGTCTGGGTCAGTTGCTTTGCGCGGTTTGTCGAAGGGTTCTTATTGTGAGAGTGGTTGGGCTTCCCTCCTCAGACGCCCTTATATCCTCAACACGTTGCTTGAGATGCCCTCACTTAAACTCCCAAATCCGAGCACCAGTGGGATGGGTTTGAGGAGGGGGTCTAACTTGCCACTCGCCAAAAGAATTGGCGGATTCAGCTTGGGCCAGTCTGAGGTTGCCGAACTTTTGTTTTCTGATCTTCGGCAGGAGGGGTCAGGGATGTCCAGATTGAGGACTCGTCGCAACAAATGCCAGTTCCAGAGTGAGGACGAATATGGGCCAGTGGGGAAATAGGGGGAGCTGGTGTTTCCAGCAACCACAGAGGATGTACAGGGATAGCCGTGACATTGTTTTTCACCCAGGGACGAAGAATCCATCACCCACGTTTGACCAGAAGTCCTCGAGCGGGGAGGCAGAAGCGATGACAGCGGAGACTGCGAGGGAGGGGGCAGGGCAGCCACTCGCAGCAGGGTTCTCTGCCCGAGTTTTTGTTGGCTCGTTGTGCTTTCCGCCGCTACAGGCATCGATGGGCCAGTATTCCACCACCACTACCATGAGCAGAAAGGAGGAGTAGGAGGAGGAGGAGGAGGAGGAGGAGGAGAAGGAGAAGGACCTCATCCTCTCTTCTCCCCCATCCTACCTATGGCAGTGGTGGTGGAAGACTGGCCCATCGGGTATCCCACCACGCCGCTTCACAAAAGGGACGCCCGGTTGGGTCCGCGAGCGATGCCCCGGCTGCTGCCCACAGCTGCAGAGGTCCAGCGCGCGCAGCGGCGCGGGGCCGAGGCAGCCGACCGCACGCGAGGAGCGCCCCTGCGGGGCGGCTGCCGCAGCGCGGGCGCGGCTGCGCCGCCCCCGTTCCAGCCCGCGCCGCGTCTGCCGGCGGTGGCCATGGCGGAGGAGTCGCCTTCCGAGGCGGAGACAGAGGTCGGGGGCTGCTAGGGGAACCGAGCAATGACATGAACATAAAAACTCGGAGCTCCGTGCGGATTTCTCGGATCGGCGCTGGACCCCCTCTGACGGCGCCTCCGGCGCCGCTCCTGGCGCGCTCTGCGCGCCAGGGAGGGGGGTCCAGCGCCGATGCGAGAAATCCGCGCGGAGCTCCGAGTTTTTATGTTTATGTCATTGTTCGGTTCCCTAGCTGCTGGGAGTGCCCCTGGCCCAGGGTGCCCCCAGGACTGCCAAGGAGGCCCCCAACGGCGCCTGCAGAGCACCCCTCACGGAGCTCAGAGGGCCCCAGGGGCTCCAACATGAAACGAAAAATGCTGCGGGCACGTCGGGCCAGGGGTACCTTCCGAACCCCCGGCGAGGGGTCGCAGTCCGAGACGTGGACAGAGGAGCTCGACGAAGGCAACGCCGAGTCGCAGGAGGTCTTGTTCGAGCCCTGTCGCGACTATGTGATGGCACACCAGCGGGGTCACGTAGATTATTGCCACATCGACGCCGAGGTGGTCTCCACAACTGGTTCTTGCCGCGCAGCACGCCTCCACGTCGGTAAGGACGGCCTCGTCATCGAGGAGGAGGGCAAGCAAAGAGGCAAAGACCGCATCAAGCACCATATGCTCATGCTGCCGTCGGTCCAGATCTGGATCAGCGAAGAGCCTGGGCGCGGCACGGTCCAGACTCCGCGGGTGTCACTGCGCATCGCTGGCTCGTGGCCAACCCCCGGGGTGAACCTGCTGCTCCCCAGGACCACGGCACAGTCCCTTCAGGGTACGCTCCTGGGGCTGGTGAGAGCGGTGACTGCGGGCCTGCACCTGGAGGTGGGCCCTGCGCTGCCGGAGGGGCTGCCAGGTCGTGTCTCGTGCCGGGGTGCTCCCGATGCCCAGGCCCGCGGGCCACTGCTCCGGGCGGGCTACGTGCTGTACTCCAGCTTTGCCGACGTCGCCCAGTTGCATGGACTCCGCAGAGGGGGACGATGCATCGATACCGCAACCCGTCACTCGTCGCCACCGCTGGACTCGCCTCGAAATCCTAGTCAGAATGCACCCCCGGAACAGCGGTCAGGGACCCGTGGGGGGTCCTCCTCTTCCACCTCCTCCTCCTACTCCTCGTCCTCCCTGTCCTCCTCGTGTTCCTCCTGCTCGCCTCGAAAGCCTGGTCCGGGGAGCAGCGATAGCGGTATCGCGCTGCCCCCCCCCTCCCCCAGGAAGGCAGACTGGCCCGAGGAGCGCGCACGCGGATGCTGCGGAAGTCAACTCGGAGGTGCCGAGTTACAGCCTCTGCTACGTGGAGCTCTGCGGGCCGACCAGGGTGGGGGACGCCCGCGCATACTTGTTCAGCAGCCACATCGACGAGGAGGCCGCTCTGCTGGTCACGATCATCTGGCCGTATGCCGAGGATCGACGAAGAAACGACTACGTAAGCATGTTTGCACCCTTCGGCAGAAGACTACTACTACTACTACTACTACTACTACTACTACTACTACTACTACGGCTACGACTGCTACTACTACTGCTACTACTACTACTACTACTACTAATAGAACTTCTTCTATTACCACAACTACTACTACTACAACTACTACGACTACTACTACTACTACTACTACTACTATAAGTTATGATACTTCTATTTCTTCTACTACTACTACTACGACGACGGCTACTAATATTATCACTACTACTGCTACTACTACTACTACTACTACTACAACTACTTCTATTACGACGACGACTACCATTATTATTGCTACGATTACTATTACGAATGCCAACATTACTACTACTACTACTGCTGCTACTACTACTACTACTACTACTGCAACTACTGCTACTACGATTACGATTACTATTATTACTGTTACTACTACGATTATTACTACTATTAGAACTTCCATTACTGTTACGGCTACGACTACCACTACTACTACTACTACTACTACTACTACTACTACGACTACTACTACTACTATTACTACGATTGTAACTTCATTTGCACCTGCTTTTATTACTCCTACTGCTACCACTACTACTACTACTATTACTACGACGGCGACTACTAATTATTCTACTTCTTCTACTACTACTACTACTACTGTTACGACGACGACGACGACTATTACTACTACTACTACTACTACTACTACTACTACTACTACTACTACTACTACTACTAATATGACTACTACTACTACTACTACGACTACTACTACTACTACTACTACTACTACTACTACTACGACTACTACGACTACTACGACTACTACTACTACTACTACTACGACTACTACTACTACTACTTTTACTACTACTACCAATATTACTACTACTACTACTACTACGACTACTACTACTTCTACTACTTCTACGACTACTACTACTACTACTACTACTACTTTTACTTTTACTTTTACTTTTACTACTACTACTACTACTACTACTACTACTACTACTACTGCTGCTACTACTACTACTACTACGATCATCACTATTACTACTACTAATACGACTACGACTACGTCTGCGACAAATACAACCAACTTGAATTAGTACTGATGCTGCGAACTCAGAAGTGTCATACGTATACACTCACTAGTCATACATGGATTCGCAGGCGCACTGCTGTTTTTGGCACTAATCACAGCAGGAATCGCACTTCCTTTACGAACACGGCTAGTAGTAACCACAACACTGACAAGACCTACGCGCCCACGCTACTATTGACAAGACCGGCGGTTTTGGCGGAACGGCTAGGCAAGAGGATCAGGCATTGCGTGGAAGTCGAGCGACTGAATGTTTTTAGGCACATGTCAAGCGCGCCCAAAATACTAGGCAAAGGTTGAACGGCCTAGTGGGCAGGAAAAGCTATGCCAGAAAAATCGCGTGCATTGTTCGGTATGCACAAGGGTCCGAAAGCAGTTTTATCGATGCAAGCATGGGCCCGCCGCAGTCGAACTAGAGCCCAAGGCACGAGGAAGGAGGGGGGTGAGGAGGTGAAAGCGAAGATTCCCCTGCAACGCTCCGCTGGGCCACTTGAGCCCCCGAGGGGCTCGTCCTGGATATTCAGATTCCCAGGGTAGGCCTCCGCAGGGCCTCAGAGTGCGCCCGACCAGCGCGCCAGTGACCACCGAGAGGCCCACAGGAGAATCCTAAGGGAGCGCCCAGCAGGGGGGCCGCGAGCGCGCAACCGCGTTGCCGTCGGGGCGCCCCGCAGCGTCAGGAGGCAAACGCAGAATCTGGCCCCGCCGTCCCGACGCCCCGGCAGGCAAACTTCCAGCGGCCCTCCAGACATCGCCTTTTCCCCAGCGGGCCCCCAGAGATACCCGCCTGGGAGCCACCCGCCTCACCAGGTCGCGCGCCCAAGGAAATGTTGTGCAGAACCGATTTTGCTTCCAACTTGATCTTGTGCAGCACCAGGCGTGCCCGATACTTTCATGGGCGACGCCCGATTCGAAATTAATGCGTGATTGTTCGGGAGCGCCCATAATTAATCTATAGGCTGCCGCCTCTGCCGCCGACCCCCAGAAGGAACAAGAGCTTGTCACGGGCGCGGCTGCTCGGATGCATATGATCTCTTCGGACGATCTCCAGGGCATCTTTTGAAGCGCTCTGGAGGCCGTTTGGACCTTCTTCGGAGCTTCTGAGGTTGTTCCGAGGCCATCTTGGGGTGCATGTGGGGTCCTCGAGGAGGGTTTGTGTACGATTCTTGAGGCCTCTTTGGTCGCTGTGGGCGGGGGCCTGAGGAAACGTACGCTGGCCTTCCGCGGCGGGCCTATGGGAGCATTGTTCTCCGTTTCGGAGTGGGGGAGGGATTTCGAAGCGTTTTTGGGATTGCTGCCGAGCGGGGCTGGGTCGTTCCGATGTTGTTTTGCTTTTGTTGGCGTTCTGATTGGGTCCTTTAGGGCCACATTGGGGCACTTTGGAACTGTGGAGGCTTCGGGGGTGCGTTTCGGATTTCGTCCACGTCTTGGGGAATGGGGACGTTTTCGGAGCGCCCGTGCCGCGCGGACGTCCTGGAGAAGCGGAGCGGTCTGCGCGCATTGTCATGACGTACTTCCACCCGTGGACGTTGAGGCCCGACGCGGCCGACGCGCACGTCGTGTTCGCAGGGGGCCTGCGCGGCGACGCGCCGACGTGGGACGCGGCCATGGTGGCGTGGCTGGACGGCGGTGTGCAGACGAAGGAAGCTGCGCGGTACGTGGGCAACTTCCTGAGTGTGCACCGCGTGCGGCCACGAGACACAGAAGGGGCGGGGGACCGAACCGACGAAGAGGTGAGCGACGAGGAGTTGGACGTGGGCTTCGATCAGCTCGACGAGGCGCTCAAGTCCCGCGTAGGCGGGAAGAGGCGGAAGGAAGGCGACGGAGGCAGCAGCAGCGACGAGGAGGACACAGAACCTGGGCAAGGAACTGGGCAGGGAACCGGAGGCACGTCCCACTGTGAGAATTCGAAAGGGGGCATGAGTGTCGCGCAGCGGGTGTGGGGGTTGCGCGATGGCGAGACGCCGTTGAGTGAGGTTCTGGGTGCGTGGCCAGCAGAGGAGCCCTGCGACGTTGAGCAGGTACTCGGGGAGGCGCGAAAATCTCGGAGCAAGGAGCAGTCGATGGCAGACAGGATAGCGGAGGCGGACGGCGCAGTGTCGTCGCTGGTGAGGCCGCAACTTCGGAGGACGTTTCTGCGTGGCTCAGGGACCTCGAGTTCCGGGTGGACAAGCAGACGGGGCGGCGCTTGGTGAACGCAAAGCAGTTCGAGATGGCGAAGAAGGTGGCGAGTCGAGTAATGCGCGAGATCGACGGCGAGGGAAGTGAGGACGCCAGCATGGGTGAGCCGCTGCAGCGGTGCATGCACGGGGGCCCGGGGACCGGCAAGTCGCACGTGCTGCGCATTATTCGTCATGAGTTGTTCGAGAAGGTAATGAAATTGACAATCGGAGTGCACTTCCAAATTACCGCCTTGCAGGCCGTCATGGCTCAGCTGCTGGGAGGCGACGCCGTCCACCATGCGCGTGGCATCCCGGCCATCAAGCGGGGCGAAGAGAAGGGGGGGGATGTGAAGTTGCAGTGCGAGACTGCGAAGCGGCTGCTCCAGTGGAGGTGGCTTTCTATCGATGAGATAAGCATGGTGGGCGCCAGACTCCTAGCAGAAGTGGACGCGAAACTTCGCGGGGTCATTCGGGGCGTGGGCACGACGAAACTCGGCGACGATGGCGTTCCGCGCCCGTTCGGCGGCCTGAACGTCGTGCTGAGTGGTGACTTCTGGCAGCTGCCCCCCCCTGACGGAGGCTTCCTCGCCGACGTCCCTACGGAGCGGATCTCGGCAGCGCGCAAGTACACCTCGCTGCCACCCGTGTTGCACGGGCAATCGTTACTCCGGGGCGGGGCGGAGTGTGGGATTCAGGGCGTGACAGAGCTGGAAGAGTGCGAGCGATGCGACGACGTCTGGCTGAATGAGGTGCAGGAGGAATTCCGGAGAGGGTCGCTGTCGGCGGATGCGCACGCATTCTTGCACGGCCGGCATACGACCGTTTCTGGGAGCTGGCTGAGGGGGGACGTATGTTGCGGGAATCGGGCGTGTCGGGAATTGTGCAGTGGCGGAAGGGGCGGAGCGATGTCGGGCGCGGGGCAACGACGGAGACGTCCCGTGACGCCGAAAGATATCCGCGAGCAGGAGTGCAATGTGTGCAGAGTGGAACGCGCGCGGCGCAAGCTCGTGGTGGATGGCCCCGACGACCCGCGTCTGCAGTCTGACAAGTTCCTGGTGGCGCCGGGTGTGTTTCCAAACAACGACGTGAAGTACGAGGCGAACAAGCTCCGTGCGTCCCAGTACGCACGCAAGCACAGGAAGCCGATGGTCTACGTCCCTGCGCGTGATACGCCGACGCCGGAGGCTCTGCGGGAGCGGCCAGATCTGCCGCAGCAAAAGATGGCATGGCTCCAACGCCACGACAAGGAGAGCGGGGACGTGTACGGCTTCTTGCCCATCACTGAAGGCATGCCCGTCGCTCTGGCCGATCATATTGGTCGAAGCGACGACAAAAACCTGCTGCGCGGTCGCGCGGGCCATGCGCAGTCTTGGATTTGCGACGGGGACGGCGTGAGTGATCAAGTCGCGCGCGGCGGGGAGACCATATTGAAAAAGACGCCGAAAGTGATTTTCGTGTTGTTCGACGAAGGCGATGACGGGAACGGCGGCAGGAAGCCGCGCCAGTGGACGATCGAGGGAGCGAAGACACCCGGCTTGTACCCCGTGATTCCGCAGAAGGATTCGCTCGTGGACAAGGGCCGTCCGCGTCCGCGACTGAAGGTCAAAAGACGGCAGTTCCCACTGGCCCCAGCCTTCGGAGCGACGGCCCATGCGGCCCAGCGGCAGACGTTCAAGCAGGGTGTCATAGTGGAC